CTTCCTTCCGAGGAGTGGCTGGTGGGTTTGAACCGCCAGCCGTCTGGTTAGCAGGCAAGTGTCTTAGCCACTATGCTACCAGAGCTCCCTTTATTATAATATAGTCCATTTTATTAAGAATTCAACTTCAAATCAATAGCATCTGAATCCAGAATGCCATGAGAAGAAGCAGAGCAGCGATGAACTGATGCCACAAATGAAAAATCCAGTTTAGCTCTACAAGGTTGAGGCAGTATCTATTAATGTGTAGGGAAGGACAAGGCTAAATTCAATGAATCAACAGATTTTTGGCTTGCTTGGTGTCAAATAATTGATTTGTCTTATGGAAAAAAATAATTTAAAACCAATTGTGAATCTGTGTCACATAGTTAAACTATTATTTCCACCCTTACCTTACTAAAACAACTGAATAGTTTGACTGAAATGTTTTTCATTCTCTAATGCTGGTTTTAGTCTCACTGGTATTTTTACTTCAAACAACTTTAGACAATTTTCACAAAGTCAGAATCTACTCATAGGCTTCTGGTAAAGGGAAATGTGAATGGCAGTCAAAACATAGGAATCAATCAATAATCATGTTTTTGCACAGTTATTGACAAACGTCATGAAATGTTTAGATTCCTACAGTGATACCTGCTTTAGGGAGAAAAATGAATGATCATTTGATGACAATAGAGAACAACTTCCTATGTCCCTTCTTTCCCAAGCCTAGCAGACTATAAATTGTGTTAAAGAGCTTCAACTTACTTCAGATCCTCTCTCTCCTTTCAGTCCTTGTTCACCCTGTTCACCTGGCTCACCCTTGAATAGCAACAAAAACAGAAATTACATGTGAAGCAGGAACCAAAAAATTATACTAATGTTAATTGTTTTAGATGCCAGAATTACAGAAAATTCAGTACTCACTGGGGGCCCTTGTTGTCCACTGGCACCTCTTGGTCCTGGTAGACCCACATGACCCTAGGAATAGGAAAAAAAAAATTATTAAATAGAAACACTTGACTTAACAGATAGGTATTATCATTTAAAATGGTAGCAATTTGTTGCAAAATTCAATTTAAATATCATAGAAATTACAATTCTTTCTTGGGGATAGGATAGAACGTAACAGCTAGTATGATGATAACTGAGACAGTGAAGATTCTTTTCCTCATATAAGTCAGTCAATGCAGTGGGTTGAATGGTGACCCTACTGAGAGCCCCTCCACACCCCCAAAAAAGATATGTCTACACCCTAATGTTTAGAATCTGTGAAAGTGACCAAACTTGGAAAAAGTTTTTTTTTTTTTTATGGCAGATGTAATTATATGAAGGATTTCAGGATGAGATCGTACTGGATTATCCAGATGGTTCTTAAATCCAATGACAAGTGTGCTTATAAAAGACACACTGAGGGAAACGGATAGATGACAGAGAAGGTCATGTAAAGATGGAGGCAGAGATTGGAGTGATGTGGACACCAGGACAGTTGCCAAAAGGAAGGATTATTCCTGAGGGCATCCAGAGGGAGTGTGGCCCTGCCAATATCCCTATTTCAGATTCCTGGCCTCCAGAACCTGAGAGAATACGTTGCTGTTGTTTTAAGCCACCCCAAACCAAAATCAAACTCACTGCCATGAAGTTGGAGATGACTCACAGAGACCCCTCCTTGGGTTTCCCAGGAAGTATTGCTACGAGGTAGATTGCCCAATCTTCCTTCCAAGGAGAGGCTGGTGGGTTTGAACCATCAGCCTTCTGGTTAGCAGTTAAATGCTTTAGGTACTAAGCCACACAATTTGTGGCAATTAGTTACAGTCTCACGAAACTAATATAGTCAGTAAACAAAGTAATAAAGCGCTTGAGAACAAATTTCTTTTTTCAACTTATTCCAACTGTAGGTGTGTACTATGGTTTCCATTTTTACAGACTAAATTCATAGGCTTTAGACAGTAATTAAAAAACATTTGGCTGCTAACCACCAGCTGCTCCATACCAGAAAGATGAGGCAGTCAGCTTCCACAAAGATTTACAACCTTGGAAAACCTATGGGGCAGTTCTATTGTGTCTTATAGGGTCACTATGAGTAAGAATGAACTCAATGGCAGTAGGTTTTTTGTTTTGTTTATTTTGGAGAGTAGATTTACTAGGCTAAAGACTAGAAGATTTACTGTAGATAATGCCAAAAACATCAGCTAACTCTGACATCCAGCAATCTGTCATCATCCTAGTTCTCCTAAGGAATGTTGACCAACCACATTTTCCTTTTCAACTGTGTAATCAGAAACTACCAACAACCTGAGGGCATGTCAGGTGAAAGTTATGCAGGAAGAATTCTGTAGGTAATCTCTTTTATGCCCTTCCCTACTGTCCTCTTCACCTCAGATTCCTTTCTTCCTACTCTTTGAATGTTACAGAAAGAATGTCTTGGGAAAGAGTTATCAGGCTTGTTTTTTTCAGAATAAGAGAAGGGAGTGCATGCTGTTTTGGTTACTTCGTGTTGCTCTAACAGAAAAATATCACAAATGGGATGGCTTGAACAAATAGGAGTTTATTCTGATAGTTTTTGGAGGCTAGAAGTCTGAGTTCAAAGTGCTAGGATCTAGTAGCTGGGTGAAAGTCCTCAACCTCGGGCTTCAGCTCTGCCTCTTGCTCCTGGCCCACTAAAGTTGAAGGCTTTTTTTCACTCAGGCAGCTGCTGGCTGCTGAGGCTAACAAACCCAAGGTCAACAGGTAGAAAGGCACAGTCTCAATATTACCAAATAACACAGCAGGCCACTAATTCAAGTCCAGAAAAAGTCCCAAGATTGACAGGGCATGGCAGGCTGCTGAACAATGACTTGGCTACATGCAGGGTTCAAGTGTGCCAAAAAGCTGTAGACCATCTCCAAAGCGTCTCAGACCACATCCCTAAAGCAGCTACTCAGCGGCTCATGGCAGATTCCACCATGGAGTTGATTGCCAGTCTCATCATGGGGAATAACTACCACCAGCTACCCAGCCACTCAACCAGGCCCAGGCAAGTTGATACACAACCTTAACTGCCACACATGCATGTTGTTGTCGTTTGCCACTGAGCCAGACCCGACTCATAGCAACCCCTCCTTGGGTTTCTGAGGCAGTATCACTACAGAAGTAGATTGCCCAACCTTCCTCCCAAGGAGTGGCTGGCCACACATGCATAGACTGACAATATTTACTCTCACAGAAAGGTAAATTGAGCCTTCTTTGTTTGTATTCTGTGGGCAGATGTTCATGGTTTTAAATTTCAATTTCCTTCTGGTCTTAGGCCTTTGAGTTGATTCAGGCTCATAGAGGTCCTATGTAAAACAGAATGAAACACTGCCCTGTCCTGTGCCATCCTCAAAGCCCTTGCCTTGTTTGAGCCCACTGTTGCACCCACTGTGTCAATCCATCTTATCGAGGGTCCTCCTCTTTTTCACTGACCCTCTACTTTACCAAGCATGATGTCCTTCTCCAGGAACTGTTTCTTCCTGATAACACGTCCAAAGTGCTTGAGATGAAGTTTTGCCATCTTTGCTTCCAAGGAGCATCCTGGCTGTACTTCTTCCAAGGCACTATTTGTTTGTTCTCCTGGCAGGCCATGGTATATTTAATATTTTCTGCCAACACCACAATTCTTCTTTGTTCTTCCTTCTTCATCGTCCAGCTTTGATATGTAGATGACACAACCATGCATGCTAAAAGTGAAAAGGACTCGAAGCGCTTACTGATGAAGATCAAAGGCAATAGTTTTGGTACAGATTATACCTCAATATAAAGAAAACAAAAGTCCTCACAACTGGACCAATAAACAACATTATGACAAATGGAGAAAAGATTGAAGTTGTCAAGGATTTCATTTTACTTGGATCCAAAATCACCACTCATGGGAGCAGCAGTCAAGAAATCAAACGATGTATTATTACATTAGGCAAATCTGCTGCAAAAGATCTCTTGGAAGTGCTAAATAGAAAGATGTCACTTTGAGAACTAAGGTGCACTTAACTCAAGCCAGGGTCTTTTCAATAGCCTCATATGCATGTGAAAGCTGGACATCATTCTGACAAAGGAAATGAATTCTACTTAAGGGAGTGAACAGTGGCAAGAAAGAAAGGCTTATTTAGAGAACTTTCTATATAGCACATGGCCACACTAAAGAGAAAAGTATTACTTTGTATGATCCTTAGCATCAAAACAAAAACAGTCTGCAAATAATCTGATCAATCAAGAGGGTGCTTGGTGTGTGGTTCTCAAGTAAATATAATTACTTGTAGGTCACTTATAAAATAGGCTGCATGGGAGAAAAGGCTGGGAAAAGCTGGAGTGAAAGTGAGAGTGAGCATGTAAGCACATGATAAAACTCTTGACTACGATGTCCGATTATGGCTCTACCAAACTGTTGGCTATAGTTTTATAGAGACCTTTTCAGAATGATCATAAAAGAGAGCTATTTTCCCTGCTTTGGGAAGTTTGGATACAAATCTCACCAAAGACAGACCTGCTTTCTAGGAGTTTCACTACAATTGCTCTGGTACACTCCCTTCCAATATGAGTGGACAAAGACCATTTTTATACCATAGTAAATATCATATATGTTATGGTAAATATTGTAGGAAACCTGGTGGTGTAATGGCTAAGGTGCTTGGCTGCTAGCTGGATGTTTGGCAGTTCAAACCCACCACCAGTAAACCCATGAGAGAAAGATATGACAGTCTGCTTCTGTAAAGCTTTACAGCCTTGAAAACCCTGTGGAGCAGGTCTACTCTGTCCTATCAGGTCGTTGTGAGTCAGAATTGACTAGAAGGCAATAGTTTTGTTTTTTGGCATAGTAAGTATTATTCTAAAGTATGTATGACAGGTTATGGGAAGTGATGAATTTTACCCAATGAGTGACTAGATGAGTTGGATTGCTGAGGGTGGCAGTGATTGGGGATGATTTTAAAAGAGAAATAAGCTAAATCTTGAAGGGCAGGTGTTCCAGAGAGTTAAGTTGTACAAGAACTTCCTGGACAAAAGGGATATCATAGAAAACAAATGGAGATTCATCTTAGAGAACATGTTAAGTGGAGAATGGATTTGAGACGTTTATGACTGGGGACAGGGAAACTAGTTAGGAATCTACCGTATTAATCCAGCCCCCTCTCCCCCCCCCAAAAAAACAACTGATAAGACTGAACTAAAGTAGGTATTTAAGAGATATTTAAGTAGATATTTAAGAGGCCTAAAGAACAGGCCAATTCTGTGTGAGAGGAGAGGTGTGTGTGTGTGTGTGTGTGTGTGTGTATAAGAGAGAGAGATAGAAGAGATCCATTTGTGAAACAACAAATTTATATAAAGTGTCAGCTAAATTGGAGTTTTATGGTAAGTGCTAGGAGGATACGCAGGTTTACTTGGATGGAGACTTGGATGGCTGGTGGTACCATTCATTGAACTGAGAACATAAAAAGAGGGGGACCAGATTTGGGGAGAATGATGATGATATGGTTTGGGACACCCTGAGTCTGAGGTACCTGTGGCGATGCTCAACAGGTATTTGGATACGTACGTATCTCTGATGCTAAGTAATGAAGTGAGGATTTAGTTATTGTCTTATTATTTTGTGCAAAAAATTCTGATAAAATAAAAAATTCAAATAAAATAAAAAGAAATTTGAGATAGACTATAATTTATTCAGTGTATTTCTGGCACTTAATCTCATATGAGATTAGCCTGACTTAATCTTGGATGTTTCTGTACATACCTTTAAAAAGTAGATGCTGACAGGATAATACATTTATTCAAACCTTGCTCTTCCAAACCTCAAATGATATTTTCTTGAGCTTATACTATATATATTTTCTTATAGCTCACTGTGTCTATTTTTATACTGATTAAAAGTTATTATTCTGAGTGTCTCATGTATGTGATGTCTATGAGGGCAAGGATTTTGTCTGGAGTGTTCAGTGTTGTATCTATAGTACCTAGATCTTATCCTGGCCCAA